CCACCCCCACCCCCGAATGCATGAATTTTGTGCACCAGGCCTCTAGTTTACTTATAATACATGTAGGAAAGATTTCTGCAGAAAATTTAGAAACTAAAAAAAGGCATTACTTTTTTTTCTGACACTATCATTAAAGAGAGACAGCAAAGCTTTTCAAAAATAAGATTTAAATTTAAGACATTAAAATTTAAATGTTCTAGAAATTAACTACATGATACAAAACTATATAAGGAGTAAGAAAAACAGGGCTGATTATGCTTACTTACTTCTTATGGTTTTACAACTTTATATCTCATGTACTAACTCATCTGACTTTGACACAAGTTTTCTGAGGTGGGCAAACTGGTCCAATAACCCACTTGACCAATGGAGCTGAAACTCAGATATACTGTAAAATCTCATAAAATTTATTCACAAATTAACCTTTTCCAGTGTAAGGTTTATCACAAGACTTTCCATTGTAAGCAAAAAACAAAAACAAACAAACAACAACAAAAAACCCCAGAAACCTGAAGAAAGATAAATATTTAAAAATCACTTTGGTAGCAATCTGAAAAATGAATGATTGATTTAAGATGTTAAAAATTCCTTCTCTGAATAAACCAACAGGTATTAAAATTTTAGTTTTTTACATTAAAGAATAATTTTAAAAATCAAATTAAAAAGCTCCACTATTTTTGTTGGAAAAGTCAGTAAGATTTAAATTTAAGACATTAAAATTTAAATGTTCTACATTTTTGTTAAATTTCTAATTCACTAATTTAATTTTGACCTTTGAAAAAGACATTTTTAAATGAGGGATGATTTCCACAAATAACCACATTAAAAAAAACCTTCATTTTTTACTAATACTACTATTATATATCTAGTAGAAAAATCAGATGCTAGGATCATTTTAATGCAGTAAGAGAAACTATAACTACCATTATATGAAGGTAAAATAATTTTTAAGCTGAACATTTTTCTCAAAGTAAACATGAAATGGCATTTCTTAAACCTTTTTACAGATTTCCCCCCCTAGTCTAATCTCAATCCTTCACTCAAAAGATACTGAAAGCAAAATTTTAAAAAAAGAAATTGAATTTTCTGTTGAAACTGCCACAATTTCAGGGTGCATCATCAAGCTGATAACAGTGAACTACACAGTGCTTGCCAATATGAACATTATTTTAAGACCCCACAGTCTGAAAGTTTTTAGTAAATGCTATTTCTAAGAAGTTAAACCACCAAGGTCATTTAAAGGCATCAACCCTAACAAGAATATGGGGTAGAAGCCTTCACTTGCACACTCAATATGTATAACCTGCCCTCTTAGTTAGACCATGTCTTTGGATTGATTCTGTAATTTTTAGGTAAGAAAGTATCTTTTTAAAAAATATATATATTTTATTGAATTATTTTACAAAGAGGAAAGGAGAGAGATAGTTAGAAACATCAATGAGAGAGAAACACGATCAGCTGCCTCCTGCACACCTCCTACTGGGGATGTGCCTGCAACCAAGGTACATGCCCTTGACCAGAATCGAACCTGGGACCTTTCAGTCCGCAGGCCGATGCTCTATCCACTGAGCCAAACCAGTTAGGGAGGTAAGAAAGTATCTTTAAAATAACTACTAATAGCCTAAATTAAGACTTCTAATACTGAATGCATTCAAAAAATCCTTTAAAACAAATACTAAATGGGTAATTTTTTTTAAAAAAAAGAGAGTATAGATATGAGATAGACATGATATAAATCTCTTTTTTAAAATATATTTTATTAATTTTTTACAGAGAGGAAGGGAGAGGGATAGAGAGTTAGAAACATCAATGGGAGAGAATCATCGATCAGCTGCCTCCTGCACACCTCCTACTGGGGATGGTCCCACAACCAAGGTAAATGCCTTTGACTGGAATCGAACCTGGGACCCTCCAATCCACAGGCCAATGCTCTATCCACTGAGTCAAACCAGTTAGAGCTAAAATAAATTTTTATTGATTTCAGAGAGGAAAGGAGAAGAGAGACAGAAACATCAATAATGAGAATCATTGATCAGCTGCCTCCAACATGCCCCACATTGGGGAACGAGCCCGCAATCCGGGCATGTGCCCTGAGTGGGAATCGAACTGTGACCTCCCGGTTCATAGGTCGAAGCTCAGCCACTGAGCCACACTGCCAGGCTCATGTGAATCTTTTAGTTGCTAATTAACACAAAGTCGTGGGTTGTCACCCCTCACTATTCTAGAAAGAGACAAGATGAAATATCAGCATAGTACCCCAAGGAAAAAGCAGTAATTGCCCTGCAATTAATTACTACTGTGTTGTCAAGATCACTGCTAGCTCATTGCTTTTGTGCAATTACGTACCCTCTTCCACTGTCGAATCCAGCTGGGTAACTTTGACAGCAAGGCGATCAATTCTGTCTTGAAGAGAATTTGCTCTGATGTAAAAGTTGTTAGCTTCATTAAACAACTCACCAAATATGTCTTCAGCATGTTTGCCTGTAAGGAGAAAATGAATGGAGAGAGCCATCTGTTAAGAACTGCTGAGGCAGCCTTCACACATTCTCACAGTGCCGATTACTGTTAACACAGGGGATTTTGTGCAAATGATTATAAAAATAGAGTGTCACAGTCAAGGGTCTTTAGAAGTTTTGAAAATTTATTAGGGCTGTTCACACATATCTGAAATTGACCCAAAGTTGTAAGAATTTTAAAATACTGCAGATAGTACAGAATTTTTATTTAATTGCTACATGAGCTATCACGCAAGTTGTTTCCCATTAAACTTTTTTGAAAAAATTACTCTGATTTTGCATGCTTTATGTATAAATAGAATCTCAGTACCTAAACTTTCCTTTTACTTCCAAGGATAATTCAGTAAGTCATGTTGGTTTCTAAATTTAGGATGTTATCTTATTCACAATTAGAAAAGTTAGGTATCTTACACTGCGCCTACCACTTTCAAATGGCATTAAATTGTTCTAATTCATATTTTAAAATCTAAGTATATAGTGCTGACTCTGGAACTCTCAAAAAATCAGTACTTTGTATTCTGAGTTAAATTTTTCTGTATGGATCACTTCTACATTCTTGTGAGTGCTAGACACAACTACTTTCCTCAAAGTGTAATTAATACATTTCTGAAAATCTGACAGGCAAGAAAAAAAATCTGCCCATGTTAAATTTCCAGATCCCAACACCATTCCTGTAGTCATTCAACAAACATCTAGTCTGAGTGTGCCAGGCACATCTGCATCCCATCTCCTCTAACAGAGCTGCCACTTTTTAAAGAAAACTTTCTTTTTAAGAACAGTTTTAGATTCACAGCAAACATGCACAGCTTCCCCCAACATCCAGCACCAGAGTGGAACATTTGTTATAATTGATACATCATCAATCATCAATTGACCCACACTGACACATCATCATCACCTGGAATATTTTAGTTCCAGAGAATCACATGGTTTGCTCCCTCACCTCATCTAGGTCTACCCAAACCCAGGTCACCGTCTAAGTGAGACTTTCTCTAGCAACCGTAGCTAAATGGCAACCACCTCACCTACACACACACACACCTACACACACACACACACACACACACACACACACACACGCACACGCACACACACCTATCCCTGCCCTGCTCTGATTTTCTCCTTTGCACTTACCATCACTTATACTTATTTATCTTGTTTCCTGCCTCTCTCTCCTTGTAGGATCCAAGGGAATAAGAGCTCTCCTCTGTTCCGTGCATTGCTGTACCAATCCACAAAGTGTGGTGTATGCCCGGTTTAGAGAAGGTGCCCCCAACATTTTGGAATGAATAAAAATGCACTAAAGTCAATTCTTCAGGATGAAGATTAGGGTGAGCAAGATCAGATGCCCCTCTCTGTGTTCTCACAATACCCTAAGCATACCTCAATCCTATTTACAGAAGTTCTTTGAAAATATGAGCGATATCTCTTATCTCTGCATTGTGCTGAGCCAGTGCCCCTTATTTCCTGAATAAAACACACAGTGTCTATACCAGTCGTTAATAAGTATACAACCAACAAATACTCCCCTGCACAAGTTTGGGAAATGCTGGGCTACAAAGATTTAACATGTTTCTATGCCTTGGGGCATCTCAAAAGCCTTAATACGTTGCTAATGTGTGTTAAGAATCTGCAAGAGAAGCAGCTAGCATATAACGTTTTCAAACTGACTGGGCCTGGAAACACCTAGTAACATCTTTCAGAACCACTGTCTTATGAAGCCCATTGGGGAAATGCCTGCCCATTGAGCTGGATGACCAGGAGCAAACACCATCTTCCAAATGCTTTATATCCAAGTCTGTCCATAGTTTGTTTTGAATGTCAGACATAGTTAAAATGTAACCAACTAATTTTTGTTTTTCTAGTTGATTATTCATAACTTTAAAAAGTTACTACAGCCCTAACTGATTTGTCTCAGTGGATAGAGTGTCAGTCTGTGGACTGAAGGGTCCGGGTTTGATTCTGGTCAAGGGCACGTGCCCGGGTTGCGTGCTCGATCCCCAGTAGGGGGCATGCAGGAGGCAGCCAATCAATGATTTTCATCATTGATGTCTCTCTCTCTCTCTCTTCCTCCCTCCCTTCCTCTCTAAAATCAATAAAAATATATTTAGAAAGTTATTTGGCACAATTCCAAAAATATCCCATTCCTTTCTAGCTATGCATAAATCTAATTAATAGGGACAGTATATGTCACCAGGAATGTGGGAGTATACAGCAGTCTCTTGCAAAAGCTACACTAGTATCTTCAAAGCACAGCAAGTATGGTTAAGAACCACACCCTGGGAGACACTATCAGTTGAAAAGGGTACATAACAAGTCCCTCCTACCTTCAGTGCTTACCCCTATTTGAAAAAAAATTACATGTATATGTATATATATGCAATTGATACTATAGTCCCATTGGAAGTTCTCGATTTATAAAAGAAAAAAATAACAGCACACAGAAATTAAATACTTTAATATTTTGCCAGCTGCTGAAAGCTGACAAGTGACTAAAGAGAAGAATATTTAAGGAACTATAATTACTGCTGAACAAGGATAAAGTGTTGCAGTTACAGTGTTCAGTTTTACAAACAACTTATTTGAAAACCTTGATTTTAATCACTCTTTCTATGGCATGTTCATTAATAGCTAAACTAAAATAATTGAAGACCACACTGAAGTAAGTGCAATTCATTCATTTTTTGCTGACCAAGAATCTTCTTATAGATTTGTCAGGCCCATTATGAACTTGTGTCCAAGTATGTCAGGTTGAGAAGTACAAAAATTCTGCATGGATTTTCAACTGCATTTAAAAGTGAAGGTTCATTGAAAACAACCAGTATGTTTGTTATGAGTCCTTTCTGTGGAACAAGAAACCACTCATGACAAAGTCCTTCAGAAATTTAATACACATATCTAGCACCTAGCTATTGGTTTGTCAAGATTTTGGCTTCTCATTTTCCACTAAAAAGAAGTAGGATTCTTGGAAAAATGACTGGATATGAGCCTGAGAGTGGAAAAGTACAAGATAAACTTAGAATATCTTGCTGTACTTTTCTTTAAAAAGTAAAGAAGTACTCAGAGATTGGTGGGGACGTGGCAGAAGGACGCAGAAGCCAGCCTAAAGGGCTCCGACTGGCCAACTGTGGGAAAATGTGAGCATCAAAATAAATAATAAAGACAATGGATTATAACCCAGACAATAAATAAGAATCTATGAGTCCAAATTGATACAAATAAATGAACTGAATAAATAGGGAAA